TTCCAAAGATTTAACATTTTTTGGCACAGTGTTTTCGCTATATACAGTAGTGTTGATATGGCGGCACTAATACACTAAGTTTTAGTTTTAAACCGTGTGTTTAAACCGTAACAGCGAAATGAATTATATAAACTAGCGTTAAAATGAAAAATTAAGCAGTGTTAAAGTTAATGAGATAATTAAGTGAATATTTGAGTGATGATTGAGCATTATTGAAGACACCCAAGTCATCATAATGGTGATCAGTGTTTGTTTCAGTTGGGCTTTTGACCCTCAAATGATTACTTTTAGATTTTGATTGGCTGCTGAGTTAATATATATTTAAACCGTCTTGTTGTAGAGAAGCACATGACGTCAGCAACAAGTCTTGCTGGATATGCTTTGGGACGTTTGCAGTTTCCAGGAAGCCTACTGGTGTGAGCGGGGCAAATATAGAGGACAGCATGAAAAAGCAGTAACACACACTTGATTAAAGACAGAAGACAGTCTTTCTGAAGCTTTCGGGTGGAGAAAGTGGGACTTTAGGAGAATTGCCAAACAAACACATGTTTAATCTTAAGCAATATAGAGACATCTGATAGCAGACAGCGCAATCAGAACAACTGTTTTGGGATTATTGCATTCAAACGCGCCACACTTTGATGTTTCTTTCTGCTCTTTTTTGTCTCAAGCCCTTCAGCTTTCATAATCCGCCTTTGAAGTAAGATACTTGGCAACAGTGTCGGTGTGTGACACGCTTATTCTCACTGTCCAAACACACACAGTCTCTGTCTTAACAGTAATACTACAGTACACATGTGTCTGGACTTCCATCAACTAGCCAGTCATTAATTAGACTCTCATTACCAGCAGTTAACACTGAAGCTTTCACACACTCAAACACACAGCAACCGGACTACCATTATGGTCCTGATATTAGTTGAACTATGTGTGTAAAATTCATAGTGCAACTGAAACACACTCGGTTCACAAATGACTCTTCTTCCTGGTTTTACATGGTCATAAACAGGAGTTTTGAATATAACATGAAGTTAGTTAGTTGCACTCATCTTACATTTTCCACAAAAAAAGTCTAGCAGATGCGTATGTATCTTAGCATCTCATTTGTTCATACAAACTGAGGGATGAATCAAAATGATCCCAAGATGATTTTTACACTATAATCGACACTGTGAGGTCATTGACAGATTTCTGCGTTCAGTTTGTGTGGCGGATTTTTGAGATCTACGATTACACTGAAAAAAACAATAGGTTAAGTTTACTATAGGTTAAATTTTTACAATTTTAATGTAAATTTCACATATGGAATTGGGGAAACTACTTAAATTAAGAAAATAAGTAATTTTAACTTGTCTAGTAAAAGGTTGAGTTGTATCTATTTAGTTGAAGTTTCCTTTGCAATAAATTTCACTCAAACAATGTAACAGCGGATTAAACCACACTTTTAAAGTATATGCTTTACTTAGAAACATAATAAATACAATATCTACATATCTGAACTTCACTGCATCATGTGAACGCACAGACCTCAATACTTGGTACTCAATGATGGTAACATTGGATGGACCGTTTTTGTGTTTGAGTGTGTCATTTTAAATCGAAAATGAACTCCAAATGGAAAGTTACTAATCATAACAGCAAAACTAATGATTAATCAGTGTAAACACAGCTGGAAACCAGTGAAAAATCAACCTTATTAATTATTCAAGGCCCAGTGCATGAACACCAGTATCAGAAAAGTTTAGTAACTTTACAACACTGATATTTACACTTTCACTTCTACACGCTTCAATTGAGTTTGAATATAGAATGAACTTTTTCATGTAAATTACAGTTTTTGTGTGTGGTATTTAACCCTCTGATGGTCTTCCTTAATGAGTTACGTCCTGGGCTTTCCTGGTCAGAAGTGACTGGAGGCCTAAAAATGAAACTTCTTCCATCCCAGTAAAACCAATGCAATTTATTTTTGTTCTATAATATTTATTCTTTTTAATTTAGTATTTTGAGACAATTTGATTGAATTTATATTGAATTTATATTTATGCAATATTTATGGTCTATTTTTTCAATGGAAATATAATTATTTTTCTATATATATATATATATATATTTTTTTTTTTTTAAATATTAATGCAGTATTCTTGTTTAATATAGAGTCTATGCTCTCAGAAAAAAATATTTTTTGCAGAAAATTAGCACCATCTGGTTACAGTATAAAGAAAAAGCGTTGAATTATGGTGTAACCACTAGATGACATGTACAGCTCTCTATGGAGAGGCATTTGAATTCCTCAGCTGTTTATGAACACATTTTTTTTTTTTGCTGGATTTGAATATATAATTGAAACAATTTAAAAAACTATTTCTTATTTAAAAAATTGTAAAAAATAATAATAATAAAAAAATAAATAAAAAGAAATTGTGAATTTTTGTGTTTTTGTCAATTTCCCATTCATTTCCAATGGGGGTCATTTTTGACCAAAGACCAAAAATCGTTTTTTTTACGACCACTTAGCATGCTCGGATCACGAACTCATTTTTTGTGTGTATTCACATCCCTAATGCCAGAAATGTCACCAAGTTTCGTAACATTCAGATGAAGCTGTGATTTTTAAAAATTCAAAACAGATTTTTTGTAGTCTGAATTTATTGGTGTGTATGTGTATAAAAGTGTGTGTGTGGGTGGGTGTAAATTTTTTGCACTCTTGATGTCGTAGAGTGTCACCCCTTTACTGCGGTATACTTCTTTTAAGAATCGTGGCCGATTTGTAGATTGTACAAACAAAAATTCAGAGAATTTTTGTTTTTTTTTGTAAATTTCCCATTCATTTCCTATGGGTCGGTCATTTCTGACCGAAGACCACGAGAGTGACTATTTTTTTTACGACCACTTAGCATGCTCGGATCATGACCTCAATTTTTTTTGTATTCACATACCAAATGCCAAAAAAGTCACCAAGCATCATAACCTTCCGATGAAGCTGTGATTTTTAATAATTCAAAACAGAAAATTATTCAGTCAGAAGTAACCGAGGACCATCAGAGGGTTAAGTCATGTCTATCAGTGTAGATTTTGAGATGTGGAGTAAATGATTGGAGAAGTCCTGCATACGTGATTTAAACGACTCATAATCTTTAAAAAACAGGTGCTGAGAGATATAGTGCTGAAAAACGTTCGCATTTCAGTAAAGTGCTGAGAGTGTCTTCACACACACTGGCATAGCACATTTATAACGATCAGTAGATGCATTTCAACACTTGCCACCATTTCTATCCTGTCAGACGCTTCTGATATAAGTCATTCATATTGATAAAACTTTGATCATGAATTAAAGAGTAGGCTATGGTCAAGAGATGAAGTATGAAACTAAATCCAGTGTAAGCAGAGGGAAAGAGATCAATGCTATTTACAGTTTAACTCGCTAGAACAAAAGTAGAAGTGGGTTAACTTGTACGGCGGCCATCTTGCACTCGGGCAGCTACAGCTCAAAAAAATCAAATCTCAAAAACTACCTCACATTTTTTAAATCAGCATGGCGTCATCAACTTTGTTTCATACTCTCAACAAAGACCAGGCAGTGCCTAGACTTCATGGGTGTTTGGCTATTTTTATTTGTGTAGGCTAAAACCCCGGAACGAGTTAGCATTTTAGCATTTTATTTTGCTTGAAATAAGGTCTGTGGTGAACGCAAAATCAAGATACTATTTTCAATATAAAATACATCAGTACTACCCCCTCGTGATTTTTTTAAGATTTTGCTTGTCATGACTTGGCTCTATTTGAAAGGTGGGACTTAAATCCAATTTCTCCATTCATGACAATATTAGTAGCTATAGTACTGCACTTACGTCTAAAGAAAACGTATTATGAAGTAAATAACAATTTACTCTTAATCTATTTGAGCTGCACAATTCTAATCACAATTCTCCAATGATTCTGAACAGTCAACACAATAACATACTTTACCAGAGGTTCTGGCAAAACGTTAATAGCGGTTTAAAACGTTTAGCTAATCGGTATGAATTATTTAAAAAAATGGGTTGAGCGAATGTTTCAATTGTTTTCATTGCTGGATGAACCAGCGTTTTTTTAAATGAATCTCTTGAATGAATGATTCAAAGAAAAATGTCACTTATCGCCACCTACTGGTGTAACGATGTAACAGTCGTTATTTGAAGCGCCGAGTTACTTTCGAAAGGTGATTTGCTTTATTTTGACCACTACTGTAGACATCGGTGTTTGTATCTAAATGGTAACTTTGTATCCCAGTTCTTCTGTGATAATTTGAAATGACCGTAACACAGAAAAAAACGATACTTTGTGGTTGAAAAGATCGTTTGTGAAGCTGTTTTATACTTAAACAAAAATAAACAAAAATAGTTTACTGCTGAATACTATTTCACACACAATTGTTTTTAAAATGCACTATTGATTTCTTATATTACAGCATGTGCTGATAATGTCTATGTCCCAATGTTTGGGAGAGTACAGGAAAGCTGAGTGACAATCCTGAGCAGTTCAAAGCTTCGAAACCCTCGTAAAAACACCACACACTCCAATCGGCCACGATACCAAACCCTCTTTGTAAGCTCCACAAAGGACAGCAAAGTCATGTCTACTCAATAAAAGCCCGGGCCAGACTCCGCCACCTCTGTCATGCAAAAAGCCATGTTGGAGGCCTTTTGTGCACAGTTGTTTCAGTTGTTACACACACAAAGAGCTGAAAACACTCAGTCAGCCATGATGGATTGGTCAAAACACCGGAACAACAAATCATTTAGATGAATCTAAAGAAGCCTCTTTGTTAAGGGCGTCACACTTTCAGCTCAGTTTCATCTGCATCTTTACAAATCACACCAATGGCCTATTTCAATATCAGAACGGCAGAGCTCACAGACATATAGTTGTAATAATGAAGATTCACTGTCTGAGTTGCAATATGCTTACAAGGTGCATCAATGAACAGAAATTCTGTGCCACATGAGTGTGTGTGTGCTGACCTTGTTGGCCTGGCTGGCGTCTCTGTTGAGCTGTGTCCTCTCCTGGTCCCAGCGGCTCTGTTCCTCCTGTATTTGTGTCTCGAGGCTCTGCTGGATCTGTCGGCTGTCTTCTTTCAGGTTCTTTAGAGACGTCTGCAGCTCAGCGATCACCTGTGTGAACACATACACACACACTTGTTCATCTGAGATCAGTAAATCTCCTCGGGGTCTGAGTTAATTACTCAGATAATGGATTCTGCTTAGTTTAATGCTTGACCAGCCGGAGGTAAAGTACTCAGCAATGTCTTAGAGGTTTTCACTACATCATTTAGAGGCTAAGATCTCAATTCAGTCGCTGGTGTTACATAATCAGTCGTCTCTAAGAGTTGCTGAGAACCAAAGTACAGATACCGTACAGCGAAAATGACTCCATTACAAGTCACAAGTCACCAATTCCACTACGACTTGAGCAAAAGTCTCAGAGAATCTGATTTTTAAGAGTGTTTTACTCGTACTGAATGTAGGCGCTAGTCCTCGACAGCTAAGAGACATGCCAGTGAAAATAGCAAACAATTGATTTGTAAGATGAGAAATCATGTTCATTTTCTAAAATCAAAATAAACTGAATATTGCAATACATAAAGGTCGACACAACAGCCTCTCACATGTCTCAGTTAAGCTCAAGTGCACAAAAAGGCCATAAGTAAACACCAAAACGGTCAATTCAATATAGCGGATAAGTTAGGGTGAGTAAAGGCGAAACACAAGATGCAATACCTGTAATGCCCTTAGATGGCGATATCGCTTCTTTATAGTAGCAATACACCACTGCAGAAAAAGTCAGGCACCATTCTAAATGTAATTGCACTACTCAATCACAAAAGTAAAAAGTACATTTACTTACTTAAAAATGTAGTCAAGTAGAGAGTAAAAGTTGATACTTAAGTTGAGTAGCCAAAAAGATACTTAAAGGAGTAGTTCACTTTTGAAAAAACTTTTGCTGATAATTTACTCACCCCCACGTCATCCAAGATGTCCATGTCTTTCTTTCTTCAGTCGAAAAGAAAATAAGGTTTTTCATGAAAACATTCCAGGATTTTTCTCCATATAATGGACTTCAATGGGAACCAAACGGTTCAAGGTCCAAAAAAAACTTTAAGTACAAGCTGCAAACTTGTTCAAAGGGCTTTAAACGATTCCAGAAAATGAATAAGGCTCTTATCAAGCGAAACAATCACTCGCTTTATAAATAAATAACAAAGTTTAAGTTTTATAAGCTCAAACGCTCGCCTTGCTCTGTTCTTTAACGCACTCCTGTTCGAAATCTTTTTCCGAGTCATTTGGTTCATTCGACGAAAGAAACAAACGAATTGATTCGGAAAAAGATTTGTTATTTTTGTTGAACGAGTTCGAACAGGAGAGTCACGAACGTGCACCACAGAACAGAGCAAGACGACCGTTTGAGCTTATAAAACTTAAACTTTGTTATTTTTTTAAAAAAATGAGCGATCGTTTCGCTTGATAAGACCCTTATTCATCGTCTGGAATCGTTTAAAGCCCTTTGAACAAGTTTGTAGTTTGTACTGAAAGTTTCTTTTGGAACTTGAACCGCCTGGTTCCCACTGAAGTCTATTATATGGACAAGTTTTTTGAAAAGTGATAATCCTTTAAGAATCTTGAAAATTGGCCGCCATATTGAATTTTTGAGTGGCCAACGCCTTTTTCCAAAATAGTGGCCCTTAGAGACTATCTGTACCAAATTTCAAGCTTCTATACCAAAGTGAATGATTTTTTAAAACTAATCTGCTGTCCAATAGCTATGTAGCAAATATTAATTGCTAAATCAAAACTGTATTATCTGCTAAATGTTAAATGAACACTGAAGTAGTGTTAAAGTTAATGAGATAATTAAGTAATTAATTGAGCATTATTGAAGACACCTGATGTTAAAAAGCAGAATCACTAAAGGAGAAAACCGGATTTTTTAAGTCACCATTATGGAGATCAGTGTTTGCTTTAGTTAGGCTCTAGACCCTTAATTCATTAACTTTATATTTTGTTTAACACTCTGTTCAGAGTTTAAATAATTCACACTCTCGGTGTTAATTTAACACTGGGGATTTTGCAATAAATACACAATATGCTAAATATCTACTCTCATATGGTTCGACTCTTAGGAGTCAAAAACATCTTCAAACTCTTAAAAAACAGTACCTCGAGAAAAAAAAAAGAAAAAGAAAAGAGCTGATTTAAAACGATGTGTATTGCGAAAGGCATTATATCAATTATAAAAAAGTGTTAAGCGCTTGATTGCAGCCCATTGCTGTAATTTATTTTCTAAGCGTATGCAATGTTTATGATTCGATGTCAAGAGCAGAAAAAAAGAGTCAACTATGAAATCTCACGCAATGCGTTATTAGCTTTTAATAACGAACAGATTTGAATGGTTATCGTCTCGTAAACACACTTAACGGCCGTTGAAATCTGTCTCAGTCGAGCGCAGATGAAAGCCACGCCTCTAGCCTTCCCAGAGTCCTCTCAGAGTCAGGGTTTTTAGGCCCAAAACGAGAACCGTAGAGTCAAAATCCCACATGACCACCCTTCACAACTCAACTGAGGAGCGTTTAATGAAGCTCCAGCGAGACGGAAATGTCCACATTCAGATTCTGCTTCAACTGCAGCCAAGAGAGTGGCGGTGAAGCTCAGGGCGAGACAGATAATTGTTTATTGTGCATAAATGTTCGGAGGAGCGCTTTTACTGGAATCCGTGGATGTGTAGGAGTTGGGAGTGATCTCTTGGAGCGGACACAGAGGGAGAGATTAGGCTTATTTAGTCAGTGGGCGAACCACATGAAAGCACCAAACGCCCCATTATTATGGTAACATAAGTTCTCATGGTAATAATTATTTGGCTATACATATTGGTTTGCCTGAAGGGACATCCCTCGATTGTTATTCCTCGCTCTTGATATTTGTGAATTTGGCCGTTAATGGCTTCAGCACGTCGTCCTTCATGTTTAAGACTCTCTTTAGACTGGTGCACATGCTATACTGTGGCTATGAGGTGTTACATCTTCTTTCTGATGGACGAATTAATTATTGATACGCGCAAAAACAAAACAATATATATGAGACTAAAACTGAAAGCTTCAGTGATATAATAAGACACTGGGGGAATCATCAGAAACGATGGCTGAATGACTGTTTCAGTGGGCGATATGGCAAACATTCACTTTATTTTATTTCATTAGTTAATCTTTGTTGTTAAAAATGAGACTTGATATGCAAATTGCAAATAATATGTACAATTTAAGCTCTTTAAAAGCAGCATTCAAGTGTAAAAGAACACTACACAGACTTTACAAGTAACAAGTGTAAGTCAAGTAACAAGCAGTGTGTTGCTAAACTTACACCAAAATATCTAAGTTCAAAGAGTAAAATGAACTAATAACTACGTCTCAAAAATGATGCTATACTTGTTTTACAGAATCCTAATGTTTTCATTTAATATTCAACAATATTATTGATCTAAGTAAATGAATAACTTTTTTACAACAGAAATGAACCATCACTGAGCGCTATTTTCTACTAGACAAAAAGTCGGTTGCATATATCTAAAGCAAACACTGCGTTGTAAAGAGCGCTGTATAAATAAAGCTGACTTGACCGAAGAAGTGGAATGTGTATCTAAGATCTGTAGTGATTTGATATGCGCATGTATAATAATGCTCCAGCACACGTGTCCATACGCTAGTGGTGATGAAAGGAGATGTACTGTAGAAAGCAGAGCTCAGTTTGGACAACACCTTGTGTTCCTCATCATTAGCTGAGCGCTTCAAACACCAGCGAGATTAAAGGTCAGAGAAGAAAAGCTGGATGTAGCGAATGCTAATTAAAGTCGCGAGCATATATGGCGCGGTATGGATTTAATTGCCGCATTTCACATGCAATTTCAGAGCTTTGGGCACATCTGAGCGATGTCTGTCGATGCCATGGGTTAGTGTGTGTGCTGCAGAAGTTCAAAGGACACTTGTCTATACAACCTTGCAATGCATTATGGGACGCTACAGCAACTGGATTCTTGCAAGGCCAAATAGTCGCAAGGGAATAGTACAGAAAATCTGTCATTATTTTATTCCAAAACATGCTCTAGATAGTGACCAGGGGCTCAAAAATGACATTTTCATGACCACAAAACTAACTGCAATAGAATAAAAATGGCCACAAATAAAATTTAGTTTATTAAAATAATTGGAAACCCTCACCACCTGCTTTAAACATAAAAACGCAATAAAATTAGATGCAATAGATTATAATAAATGCTAATATAAACCAGATAATAAAACGAAATAAATCTAATACAATAAGAACAATGTTTCTGCTTCTGTCCATTTGGGCAAACGATTTTACTGAGGCTTGTGTCCGCCACAGAATATAACATTTTAAAAGATAATTGCGACTTTTTATCACACAAATTCAAGTTAACATCTCACAAGTCTGACTTTATAACTCATAATTATAACTTTATAACGCACCGTTGCGATTTTATTTCACAAATTCTGACTTTATAACACAGTTGCGATTTTATGTCACACAATTATGACTGTAACGCACCATTGCGACTTTATATCACGAAATTATGACTTTGTAATGCACCGTTGCGACTTTATATCACGAAATTCGAACTTTATAACGCAGTTGCGATTATCACAAAATTATGACTTTATCACGCACCGTTGCGACTTTATATCACAAAATTCTAACTTTATAACGCACAGTTGCGACTTTATATCACAAATTTCTACATTTATAACATAGTTGCGAATATATATCACAAAATTATGACTTTATAACGCACCATTGCGACTTTATATAACTAAATTATAACGTTATAAAGCACAGTTGCGACTTTATATCACGAAATTCGAACTTTATAACGCACAGTTGTGACTTTATATCACGAAATTCGAACTTTATAACGCACAGTTGTGACTTTATATCACGAAATTCGAACTTTATAACGCAGTTGCGATTATATATCACAAAATTATGACTTTATAATGCACCGTTGGGACTTTATATCACAAAATTCTAACTTTATAACGTACAGTTGCGACTTTATATAACAAATTTCTAAATTTATAGCGTAGTTGCGAATATATATCACAAAA